ATTAATTAGTAAATGTTGAAATTAACATTAGCTAAGATTAGTAAATGCTGTAGAAGTATTGTTCATTCTTAGTTCATGTTAACTAAAGTAGTTAACTAATGTTTACTAATGAACCTTATTGTAAAGTGTTACCAAATAAATAAATAAGGTTTAGGTTTATTAGACATATATCAGTTGTTTTTTTTGGTCTTTGAGTTAAATGAGTTTGACCTTTGAAAACATTTAATACCTCAAAATGTCCTCTTGAGTCCAAAATTGGATTTACTAAACCAAACTGCAAAAATAAATTGTTCTGAATTATATATTAAACATAACAGACATGACAATCGCTCCATGCTGTTACTGATTTCACATGTGAAGGAGGTGTTTCTTAAAGGCACAGCAGATAAAAGTGCAGCTGAGAGAGCTTGTAAAGATCCCAACCCTATTATTGATGGACGCAAAGCTAATGTCAACCTGGCGTACCTCGGGGCCAAACCACGCAGCCCACTGACAGGTACATACCTGACACAAGCTTTAAACTTGCTCAAAGTAGGGTACTTATCTTGTAAATCCTATAGTTATCTATTGTTCTGTCAATTTCAAAAATGAATTGTGTAATTTAAGCACTGCAAAAATGCAAAAATAATGACTGTTTTCAAACAGGTTTTCTCAAACTCGGATAATGTTGCTGTGTTGGGCTGGCCAGGATGTTCAAATGAACAGAACAGTGTTTTGAAAGTGATTTATTCTGTTTATTTGATCCTGTTGTGATTAATATATTATACACTTCCCCTTTAAGAATTCTAAAGTAGTTTGAAGTCGTTTTGCCTTTATATGGTAGAGCAACTGTTGCAGCTTTTTCTTGTTGACACTTTTACTGTGGATGATTCATACTGGCAAAAAACTGATGAATGTTTTCATCATATCATGCTCGGAGTATCATAATCTTTTGCACTCTCTCTCACACACACACACACAGCTCTCTCTGGCTGCCACACACACACAATATCACACGTATTTTAACGGGTTGTTTGATGGGTTAAGCCTGTCAAGAATTTACTGCCATGCTACATTTGCATCTATGCATGTGTGTGAATGCATTGACAGAAAGTGATATATGTTCAGTCAGCACGTCTGTCTGTTCGTTCGACCTCCAACTTTGCATTTCTGTTTGTGTTTTGTAGCTAATATGTCAGAAAAGAGGAAGGGTATTGTGGAGGGAACCTGAAGCATGTACACCTGTCCTAACACACCATATTCACACAGGAAAAGAGGCCCTTGCTCTTGTTCTCGTCCAAACATGTTTGAAACGGCAGTGGTGTATCACTCTGTCTCTCTCTCTCCTCTGCTGTTGTGGCCATCATCGCATGACTCACGCCTCGATGTACTGTTTTGTTTTTTCAGGCTTACATGTTACTCTGGGAAATATATTGTTCAAGCACATTTTAGTTCAAAAGTGAATGATAAATAAAGATCATTAAAAGAAGAAATCTTATAAAAATCTAGTAAAATACAATGCCAAGTTCTAAACATTTATTATTGACATATAGATACTGAGCATCTATATCTATTGAGAGAAAGAAACAGAGTTATTATTATTATTATTATTATTATTAATTATATATTTATATTTACAAATTATGCCAAGCTATGCTGGTGCCAAAGCCTTTTCCACAATAATTTCAGGCTATTAATACCAGTCATTTTTAGGTTATTAATACCAGTAATGTCTGGTTATTAATATAATCGATTAATATTAATCAATAACTTTTTTATTTATTAAAATATTTGGGCCACCTATACGTTTTTGATAAAAATATCAAAATTAAATAAACATGCTCAGTTTATTCAAGTTATTTTCTGTATAAACTGCATTTTTAATGTATTTTTGAGTAACATTGATCCAGACACAAAAAAATGAACGTTACGTCACTGACCCATGTATAATGAACATAAAATGGAGAGAAGAAAGCTTTTTTTGATAGACAGAGAATTACAAATTGAATTATGTTCACCATAAGGTTTGTTTAAAGGGTGTAGTGTGTATATGCAAATACTGCAGAAGAGGCTGTTGAGCGGTGTGTGTGTGTGTGTGTGTCTCCTCTGCTGTTGTGGCCATCATCGCATGACTCACGCCTCGATGTACTGTTTTGTTTTTTCAGGCTTACATGTTACTCTGGGAAATATATTGTTCAAGCACATTTTAGTTCTAAAGTGAATGATAAATAAAGATCATTAAAAGAAGAAATCTTATAAAAATCTAGTAAAATACAATGCCAAGTTCTTAAAAAACATTTATATACATTTTTAAACGATATACTTTTAAAAAATATTTTAGCTATTTTCTATTTATATTTATTTTCTATTTAGCTTTAAATTATTATTATTTCTGTTTTAGTTTGTCATTTAGTACTTCAACTTATTTTATTTCAGTGATTTCACTTATTTATTTTTATTTTTTAAGCTCAATTATTTTATATGTTTTATTTCAATGACAATCAATGATTAAAAAAAATTATAACCGAGATCATTAAATGAAGAAATATTTAAAAAAAATCAAGTTAGTCAAGTTCTTGTGTGTGGGGGGGAGTGTGTGTGGGGGAGTGTGCGTGTGTGTGTTGAATGGGCATCCAGGCGAGAAATGTTTCTGATCTGTGTCTGGGCAGATACACTGTTACGCTAGAGAACAGACAGCCTGGAGTTTATCACATGAGTGACTTCATGAGAGCATACAGTCAGGACGAGAGGAAAAATAGAAAGAAAAAGAAAAAGAAAAAAAAGTGCATATTGGGTGAATGAAGAGAATGAGTGCCAATTAAAACCTAAAGAGTGTGCAGTTGTGGAGGACACAGAATTACAAATGTGCATCATAAATGTCAAATACAGGGCAAGTAGAAAACTGGAGAATGAATGACTCCATTAGAGGGCAAATGTCCAGAGATGATAGTGAAATAATTATGTAGCATTTGTCATCTGTTCCACTCAATTTCTGCTGTTTAACAACCATAAACCTTAATTTATTGCCAAGATGTCTTAAAGGAGTGTTCTGGGTTCAAAACGTTAAATGAAGCTCTGTCGACTGCATTGACTCATCCTTTAATTTGCAACAATCTAAAAGCACATGGACATTAATGGACTTACAATTGGAGTCTATGGGGCAAGACATTGCAGAGGGTTTAAAAGCAGAAATGTGCAGCTTGTGTTGTCATTTGTACTTATTAATGGTCGACCAATATGGACTTTTTGATGGCTGGTGCCGATATCTTGGGGAGCAGAGTAGCCAGTGTCCGATGGCCAGTAACATCAGGCCAAGGAAATTAGCCTTTGAGCTGACTTTGGTGCATCTGCATTCATGAATGTTGATTAATGTATACAGTCTCTTTTTGAAATCAAATTAAATTAATCAGACAGTTTATTTTAAATAATATGCTGCAATGAAATGTATATTTATTTTACATAATATTTAATGAATTAAAATAAAAAATTTAAAAAAATGTAACTTGATTAAAAAAAATGGTAATACTTTTTAATATACACCGTTTACTTTGTTTTACATTTCTGTGTAATAATTTATTATTTATAATTCAATTATTTAATTGAATAGACAGATTTGTAATAGATGTTCTCAGAGATGTCAAAATAAAAGTCCTGTTTCTGACACTTGACTAAACAAAAACTAATCGTCTAATGTCAGTAATTAATGCTGATACGTTTGCCTTGGTATATTAATATTGTAATAATATTCATTTTTCCATACAAAAATGAGTTATTTCAGACATAAAGCTCAGTAAATCCTTTTAGTAGTGGGACTGTTTTAGGCAGCTGAATTTCTGGTTTTTATAACAATTCCTTTCTGTTCTGTCCTTGGGTTTTATGTGGTCAGATTTTGAACTGACGGAATTAGTAAGTGATTTTAACTCCGTAGTTTCATGTCAACGCATATAATAATTAGGTTTTGTGGCTATATTTTCCGAACAGTGTGTATTTAACATGCCTTCCAATGTCTTGCCCCTTAAACGTCTATTATAAGTGCATTACTGTACAAATAATATTTGTTCGTGTTTACAAACTGAAGGATGAGTTGAAATTGTTAGGGTCAATTCTGTAAAGGAACAGTTCACCCAAAAAATATATATAATTTTCTGTATAATGACTTCATGGTGAACTGTCAAAATCCCAAAAAATATAAA